AGCACTACATTCAGAGTTTGCATAAGAAAAAGGTCTGTCCCCCGGATGACAGTTTGACCTACAATTCAGACCTTTCCACTCATCTAACGATAATCCCATCGGACTCGAGGACTACGACTATGAGCGTGGCATAGATTATAATTTTAGTCTCATTTCTGATTTTAATTGACATCCATTTAAATCTAATGAATAATTTTATTTCATTTCTCTGGTTACTCTAAACTAATATTGTAATGAAATAATATTTTTTTGCTATTCATCACAAAATGTTAACATAAATAATATTATTAATTAAACAAATCATTTGTTCTGAAATTTATTTATTATTATAAAAATAAATCTCTGTGTTTATTTTAAGCAAAGCTAAGCATAAATTTAAATAAAAATGAATTATTAATAATTCTTTTGTAAATTTTATTTCTATATTAAGAATTTAATATTTATATTAAACAAAAATTAATATGAAATCGAGCAATATTTGCGTAATAATTTGTTTGATAATTTAAATAATTTTAAAAATCATAAAAATTAGCCTTAAAACTATAGACTTAGGAAAACAATGCATGACTAAAACCTATGAAATAATATCTGAAAATTCATTTTTATAGTTCATTACATAAATGAATGAATAATTGATGAGAAAGTGTTTGCAACGCAAGTCAACAACTCATCAAAAATGCACTCAATTCTCAATAAGTGCTATAATTTATAACACAATAAGAGTTTAAGACTTCAATCAAATTACGGAACGGAATAAATAATAAATGTTATCATTTGTCAAACGTTTAGCCACTTACGAGTTACTAGTAGTTAGTTATCGATCCTTAATATGCAGTCAAACAAGTGTTTAATAATTTATATGAATTTGTTTGTTCTCTCAATCAAGTGATGGAAAAGTGCTAAATGCAGGCTAATATAGAAATTCATTTGATTTTGGCGTTAATCATAACGAATGGATGTATTAATATGTTTGAACAGAAAATAATTAAAGATCTTAATCGAGAAATTGATTCATATTGTCGTAGAAATAGCCATTTAATCCCAGAATTTAAACCAAAACTCTCATTACTTATATTGATTTATTCGTATAATTCATGCAATGATACAACTAATCCTTCAATTGCACATAAAATGCATTAATCTTTTCGGAGTTGATTTTGATATAATAAATAAAAATAAATATATTTAGGCCTACATTTCATGTGTAATTTAAATGTTAAGCCCCAGTTATTATTGTGCAGTAATATTAAGCACACCATGGAGATTGCAAACGTATTAAATAATAATTTCCGTAATACTACAATTAGGTATATTTTTGTAAAATAAAAATAATCTTGTTTATAGATTTTTAATCAAGATTATATTTTTAATCATAAATCAATATTGTTTCTGCTTTTGACTTATGCTAATTATTAATTTAACTAAATGCTAAATTTTTTAAATTTAAATAATATCAATTTGATGATTAAAATGAGTGAATCTGTGAGTTTGACAAACATTTGTATTGATATATTTGAGTTAATGACTTAATTGTGAAAGTTCTCATCATTGGGAATGCAGTGCACAGCACTTGAACGGCAATAAAAGTGACCCAAATATGTGGAAATCAATGAATGGAGTAAATGTTTTCCGATACAACTTTCCATTGGAGTATAGGAATACAATTTAATGAATTTCTAGATAACTTTTAGGATATTTTTATTAATTTATTTTTATTACTGGCTTTTATTAGCCAGTTTTGAGTCACCAAGACTAAATTAGTTTCATTTAATGAATTAAAACTTTATTTTAACTAATTAAGTGAATTACAATTTCGAAACTTAAAAGAAATTTATTTATTGTTTCAATAACTTATTATTAATATTAAGAATTCATATCATATTTAATAAATAAAAGTAATAAACTAGTAATATATTTGGTGATAGCACTGTATTACAATAATTGGAGATCATTATGATAGTGAAAGTATACTGTACTGTACAGTACAAGTGGTATCAAATGTATTGAAAACAACAGAATTTCAATTTATATCCTAATTCTTGTGCTTTAATACGAAACACATGACAGAGATGTCACTGAATTCAGTAAAGAAGTCAACACTGAATGTAAACACTGTTACCATAAGAATCAATACAAATGTGAACTTTTAATTCAATGGTCTAATCGTTTGTAAAAATGTAATGCATTTCTAATGTAGTGATTAAATATGGAAATTGCATTCAAATGTATGAATCAATGCAAACAATGTTGTTATTCAATGAATACCACATTGTATGCAGTGTTCAGCGATTGAGTGCTAAATGAATCTAACATTTCACTCGTGTCTGACAAATGAATCTCAAATCAATTCAATGTATTTGTAAATCATGTGAAACTTGATTATTCATTAGTATTATCGATATAGGGATCTGCTATACACCACAAGACAAATGCATTGACGTCTAAGTCAAGTGATATCCGTCTCATTAGTCCCGTAATTAGCCATCAATTGGATGCAAGAGTTGTGACAGAAATGCAGAAAATTAAATATATTTTAATACTTATTGTAATCATAATGTGTTTATTATATAAAATGAATCGTTTGTTAATATATTCACCAAATTATCTCAATTATCTGCCAACACCTTCAGCAGCGGTCGACAGACACCCACTCGTAGACAGTCCTCAAGAGCTGAACAGATCCGGCGGTGCTATCGGTGCTCAGCGTGGAGTCAACTCTTCCGATAAAGCCTTCAGACAATTCCGGGTCCTATTGTGGACCAAATACTTCGGTTCTGACGATTGGTCTCATCTCGACCTCAAGACATTGAACTGTAATTTTAGTAATTGTTTGCTCACTGAAGACAAGTCACAACTGGATTCAGTGGACGCCGTGTTCTTTCACTGGCGAGACACCAGTCCCTGGGATTTGCCACAGAAGCACATCCCCGGCCAGAAGTGGATCATTTATAACTGGGAACCACCGGTCAATACACTGGAATTCAAGGGCAGAGCCATTGCTGACCAAATAGATTGGGTTATGAGTTATCGCAAGGATTCAGACATATATGTGCCGTACGGGTCAGTCATCCCATGTGATAATAAGTGGCAAAATGAGGATCTGTTTGATGGTAAGACTCGGAGTGTGGCGTGGATTGTGTCCAACTGTCACTCGGATGGCAACAGAGAGGAATATGTAAGGGAACTGGCTAAATTCATCGATGTCGATATCTATGGAAGGTGTGGTCACTACGAATGTCCAAGAGATGACTCGTGTCTTAAGATGATTACCAAAAAATACAAGTTTTACCTCTCATTTGAAAATTCTGTGAGTTTTACAATTATATAACAAGTTTAACATTAATTGAAATTAATTGTGGATTTGTTGGGAACAGCTCTGCAAAGACTATGTGACGGAGAAGTTGTTTCGTATCGCAGAATACGATATCATTCCGGTTTGTCTTGTAATTTGTTGTCTCAATCATTGAACCAATTTTATTAATACTTAAATCGATGGACAGGTAGTGTACGGATCGGCGAACTATTCGCAAATAATGCCAAAGAACTCATACATAAATACCGCTGATTTTGGATCACCTCAAGAGTTGGCGAATCATCTGAAGGAGATCTCGAGTGATAAGCAAAAGTACAACTCGTATATGAATTGGAAGAATAATTATTGCTCTAAAATGACTCACTATAAGTACTTCTGTAATGTGTGTCACAAACTGAATGTCAATTCAAAACTGAAAACAAACAAACACTGGAATAAAGAGGATCTGATTAACTGGTTCTATAGGGACGCCAATTGTCTGCACCCAACCTATGACTTAAGTGTCTCAAACAGTGCGGCCGATTCTCGTCCCAATTATATCTCATTTATAATCATTATATTATTTTATCACAATAGTAATTTAGTGTTTAATTCAGTGTTAGGTTTTTGCATTTGAAATTATATGATACTTAATGACCGCGATTTAGATGCGAAACACTAACCAAACCTGTGATGAGCCCTTTGATTCAAACTATAAGATGATTTGAACATTTTTTGACTTTAATACAAATTTAATTATATTTGTTATGAATCATGAAATTCTCTAATTATATAATAAAACAATTGATTACATTATTATAAATAGAAAGTTGCCTTCAATACAATCACTGCATTGCCACTGATGTCAACCCTATCGCCATTAATACGGCACCGAACAAAGCCAGGTCTTCGGGAGCACTGTTTCCCAATCAGTGTCTGTCCCCTGAGAATTGGCAACCGTCGGCTCCAGTAGGGGGCGATTTGAGTGTGTCCGTGACCACACACCAGGTCCTCATTCAGTCCAACCCATGGCAGGAATACTCGTGAATTGAAGTGAACACCACTGCTCTGGAAGTCCGCTCTTTGTGTGATTATCACTCCATTTTTGGCAACTTTTCGCTCCAATCTATTCATTGCCTCGAAATCGGGGTTTACTTCAATAATGTCATTGTTTTCAGAGTTTTTGAATCCAATGATAACGTAATAGTTTGATAGACTAACGTCTTGAACGAGATTTGGATTAAAATCTTTGCCCAAACTTTTAATCAAATCTTGGGTCCACTTATCACTTAAGTTAACGCTATTTGAGTTAACCACAGGCAATGAAAGTGTAACCAAATTTTCCTGGTTTACATTTGCCACTATTTGTTGACCAGACTTTGTCTGGAAATGAAATTCTTGTTGATTACCTGTTTGTGTGGCGTGTAATGCAAATGCAGTGCCGATAGTAGCATGGCCACATATTGGTATCTCTTGCGCTGTTGTGAAGTATTGAATTTTATTCACAACTTTGTTATTATTTGTTTCACTCGAGACAAAAGCAACCATCGGTTGATTCAATTCTTTAGCGATTTGTAATTTTGTTTCTGAGCTGATGACCTGTTTTATAATCAGACAATAAAAGTCA